AAGTCAGAAGAGAAGGCGATGAACACGTTGTGGACAATGCTGCTGCGGATTCTGCCGTTCGTTGTGTTAGTGGGGAAGATAGTGTCGCTTCAGTAGGAGGGCCAATGACGGGTGTTTCCCCTGCGATACGATTATGCGCTGAGGCCGCGTGTGGTTGCATGTTGCCGGTCCCGAGCGCGAGGCTGTTGGGGAGTATATGGGCATCGGGCGCATTTAAGTGGATTCGCTGGGACCGGGTGTTTCGTCCAGACATAGAAGAAAAACGAGATCGTTCAGGTCGAGTCGAGCGTCGAGACGACGTGTTGATGGGAGGCGGACGAGTCGTTTTAGTTCTACGCCGAGGCATTCGTATTGTTGGGTTTGCAGAAGAAGAAGTAGTTGGAGGAAAAGAACTGGTTTTTGTGCCGATGCAGAATGCTTTGTGGTGAGGAACGTTGTGAATGGGAAGCGTTGCGTTGGTTTCATAATTACGATGAAAAAATTTGCGAATGCGAAGCGTTGCGTTGGTTTCATAAGATTGAGAAATCTCCGACACGCTGGTATCGTAACTGCATGCATTCTTCCATATGTGACCAGTTAGCATTGGTAACGTGACCAAATTGTAACTTCCGTGACCGATTTGCACTTCCAGACCGTGACCAAGTGCTCGGATTGACCAATTTTCACTTCTTCGGTTTAAATCCTGGCCTGTGGACATACCGGCGATACTGGCCCGTACGCAGTAATTACTCATGGGATTATGAACGGCGGTAAATACGAGAGCCACTATCTGAGATCTTTAGCATAACGCTGAGGCTCTCGATTCAGGGTAGCACGATCTGGTGGTGTGCCTCTGGTGGTTGGTACACAACACTGAGACCGGTTGCTTGTATATGGCGAGCTGATACTTCGTCATTTCAGTGATCACGGCTTGAGATAGTAGTCGAACGAAAGATAAACCGCTGGGAGGTTAGCAGTTAGACACTCAGCAACTATATGTCGAATTAGATGGCGCAACCGAAGCGCGCAGCGGGACAACCCATGCCTTCGTCAAAAGGAAACTGAATCCATTGAAACGGACACTGGAAATTGCTTGTTCGTCGCAATAGCACAAAAAAAATCACTCCTAAATGCGGCGATGTTAATCTGGTGGGTTGGATTTGCGGCCCGATGTCAACACCGACATCTCGCTACACCAATGCATCACCGCTCATGAATCGCCTATATGTAGCAGAAAGATCACGTATCATTCGTGAGCACCACAACTGCCGCTCTCGTAGTTATTGCGGTCGTATTCAACACGAATTAAGCGCTCAACGTACCGACATAGATCGAATCTTATAGTGCAATATCAAGACTTGTATGATTGGCGTAAACCACTTGATGTTGCAGAAGAATCCGTTATTCAACGCTTCAGTGTTTTTTTTCGCGATTGTTTAATTCCATCATATTATTTCACTCTGTCGCAATACTGTTTATCTTACTGTATAGCGGCTATCGTTCGAAATGGGACCAAAAAAACTATGGCTCTTGACTTGGGTGAAGCTGCACCCAAGTTAAGTACTTTAGAAAATACATATTTTCAAGGAATTCTAATAAGTACTTTTTTTAATGCCGAACGGGATTTTGACTACATTCACGTTTTAAGCGTTGCACTTAGTGTATAGTAATACGAGTCGGTGAGGAAGATGTAATAAAGACACTGCCGCAACGATAATCATTTTCCAAGAAACTGTGGTGGTTTAGATTTGAGTAAAGACTTCCTAGTTGTCGCGATTGGACTGGTACGTTTCCTACTGTATGACGTGGACGCATTCGTATACGACAGACACTTGCAAGAACGATTACACAGCTTCCCAAGGGATCGACAACGCACCTCTTCGAACCACAACCAGTCTTCCACGTGCAGGTTGAATCTTCAATGGATAATCGACGCAATCTCTTTCCACAGTTCGTGGTAGACATTTCTGGTAAAAATTATCTCAACATTGTCCTCCTCATGAGCAAAGTTGTCTGGAGCCACAAATATTCCTTTGATCAGCATATTGTGTGATTCAGCAAGGGGCCTCCACACAGTGAAAAATGGAGACAGCGGCGAATGCGTCTTGCCAATTGTCACGTTGATGCCAACAAGCGTCGAATCGGTGACCAAAATCATATCGACGCCCGGATAATGGAAGGTTTTTGGGTCCAAGAGGATCCACCGCGACTTGTTCTTTTTTTTCGCAATCGCCAATGTCAAAGTTTCGCGCTCGTTCATTGGTTCAAAAACCTGCCTCGTGATGGTCCAACGGTTTAGTAGAGGATATTTTCCAACTACACCTTCCTTGCAAATTTTGGCCTTAATTATTTCTTTCACATTAAAGCCAAGAGTCGATAGATTTGAGCAACGCAACCGAAGATCAGTCCATCGCATCAGTAAATCATCATTCGCCGACTTCATCGTCCACACGCGGTAGAGCAATCGCATTACAATTTCGTTCGTGGCACGGAGACCACGCGTGCGATCTTTATAGAAGAAGCGAAAATCCACAATGTCGGAGTCTGACACCGAATTGACCGATAGCGTATATACCTTCCACACTAGATCCGCGTCAATGTTGGCATAGAATTTCGTGAGCAACGCCATCCAATCGCGCACAGACTCGTCTAGCTGGACGCGGTGTACAACTCTCTCCCAAGAATCACCATCGGTGTACACGCGCGCGAAGACAGACAGCAACGATGGGACTCTGCCCGTCAATAGTGCCAATTCTTCACGATGCACGGTGAAAATTGCCCCATGGTTCTCTAGCCAGACTTCAAACTCGGCGTCATTAAACCCCCCGTTATATTCGTTGCGGTCCTCACTGGTATTTTTATGAAATAGCTCACGCCACGTGATGGTATCCATTGATGCGCCGTGAATCGTCACACGTCGCGAGGTGCCGAAACAGTTCAACAACCGCTCCCTTGCCATTCGACACATTTTATCTTTATCGACAATAACGTTCCATTGATCGGCCACAAGAATCACGCGTTGATCCTTCAATACATCTCTTATATCTTCGATCGTTGTAAGTTTCCCACTAAAATCTGGCATATTCAACACAATATTTGGTTCAGAATCGTCACAACAGCAGCTGCGCTAGCCCACAATTCCCGACAATCGGGAATGTAGCACACAAATGGAAAAGATCCGTCTTCGCGCTTGATCTTATGCTTCAGCAGCAGCAGCACCAACACGGCCAGCATGTGCGACTTGCCATACCCAATTGTTCCCGCAACCTTCACCGTGATAGGGCGGCCTTTCAGCCACAAGTTCACAATTTTATCATACAATGGCTTCAAACTCGACCGGGCTTGATACGTGAAAGTACGCTCATTAAAACGATTCGGTGTGGTCCATAACGACGGAAACGGCAACTCGACAGTCGACTTCATGTCAAAAATATGATTCACGTTGCAGTCGCGAATCGTCCTCATCAACTTTTCTGCGGTAGTGGATCGGCTGTTACGAGCACAGCGAGGCTTTTTAACTCCACGGTGTGGTTCATTAGGCATGCGTTTACGGTCTCCTTCGCGCGTGTGCAGCGCCTCGTCTGGAATCAGCGGAGAGAAAGGTGTGGCTGTTGGAGGCTCGAGGATGGGCTGTTGCAGTTCCAGTTGTTGAAAACAAGCATTCAGCAGCTGATTCGCATATTTCAGCAATTGTTTGGCATCTTTTAGCAATTCATTCTCATCCTTCACGTCTTGGTTCAGCTCACGATATCTGTCATTGTCGTCGCCATGTTTGTCCTCCCAATCACAAAGTTTTTTTCTTGCTTTTTCAAGATATTTTCTTGCTGAATCTACACCTCTTCCTGCTTCTCTATACCGACGTTTCGCTTGTTCATAAGAGCGTTCCTCGTCAGTAAGCGCGACCGCTTCTCCTTTCGTTTCCTCGTCAGACATCTTGATGTAGAATGCAGTCTCCGATCAATATCTTCATAGTCACAAGCCATCTCAATTTAGTTACAACCAACCTATCATAATGGGTGTTCTAAATACTGTTTAGAGCTAGTGATTTGAAGAAAAAAAAAGGTTGCTTTTATCTGACACAAATGAGTTTTTATTTTGTTTTGCCACTACTAACATTCGAGGCATTCTTAGATGAATGCAAATTTGACAAGTTTGAGACGGCGAACGACATCGTATGGAGGCTCGATTGATTCTAACGTTCTTAACTCATTTCAAACTAGTTAATTCGGTCATTTACAAACTCAAAAAATAGTATCATTTTTATCGTTGGTATCACTAAGTGAAAATGACACGCAAAAAACATTCGTAGCCAGTAGCACGACCGACGCAGGAGTATTGTTATTTCGCGTTGTGAAACATGTACTGCAAAAAGCAAGTCTACCAGATCGGTAAAATTCCATCATATCAAGTACAACAGGATATCACAATATGGGCGCTTGCCTTAGATGGGCAATCGATGTGTCATCATGTTTGTCGTTATTCGCCCAATACTACTTCGAAGTAAATATTTAGGTCGAGCCAAATGATGTCGTGTTTCAAATCGAGAGTACTTTCATCAAAAGTAACGCCGATAAAAAATATGATTTGGTGCTTGTTAGGCCTGTTTCATACGACTATCCTGAGTTGCTTAAGCACCACATAGGTGAGGCATGATCCTTTCTTCATTTTAGAATTATCGGCCATGGATTGTTATGGTTATTCATATTGGAGGACCTGAAAATTATTAAAACGTTCATTCGCCATGTGCACGGTTTGTTATCGTTATTGTCGTTATGTTACGGCACAAATTGGATAGACTGTATTTGAAGTACTTATGTTTGTTTCAGTATGGGAGCTTATCCCGTGATGACAACGAAATATTTGATGACCAAAAACAAGAACCGGATAGACTGTTCACCCTGATCGGGAGAAATCAGCAGCTCCGCAGCTTGCGCTTTTTAGATTATCAAAACCAACCGGCCGGAGTCCAGATCCACATTTCGATTTTCTTCTCCAGATCCAGGACTGCAGTACAAAACACTATGCGTCAGCTATACGTGCTGCTGTTTACAATTTGTTTGGCTATCACTGTATTTGATGGTCAAGCTTCTGAAGCTGTTGCTGAGCATCGTCAGGGCTCACCTCGTTCTACCGCCGAAGCTGGAATCCATGAAATACCCGGTCACCGACTCTTAAGGTCTGTCAATGTTGAGAAGAGCGGTGTCGAGTCTGAAGAGAGGGGATTCCCAGGTTTGTCAAAGTTAAACGAGTGGTTCAAAAAGGGAAAATCCAAGATGAGCGACATGCAACTGCGGGTACAATATAAGGACGTGTCCAAACACGGCATGTCGGACGATAAAATCACCAAAGCATGGGTTCAGCAAGGGAAAGTTGGGGATGATATCTATTCGCGCTGAATTCGACTGAAGAAGTCGGACTTGGAAGCATCTAGACTCTTGTTGAAGCAGAACGTACATCCAAAGGATCTCTATGGTCTCTTGACTAGACGCGGGATGGACATGGAGAATGTCTACAAGCTTTGGAGAGACCTCGAGCTGGACGAGACTCAACTCTATAATATTTGGGTGACGTTGCCGGAGAAAATACGAAAAACTGACGATGAAATCTTCTCTGCTTGGTTTAACGCAAAAAAGAGCATACGAGACGTTCACAAGCTGTTGCGACTCCACATCGGCGACCCTCACCAAAATCCTAACCTCAAATTTTGGTTGGAATACACCCATTTCCACGATGCGAAGTTGGGGATCAAGCCCTAAGAGCATCTCCAGCGGTAGGTCACGAAGGTAGTTTTAACTAAAACGTAGCATGTTTAGGACTCAGAAAAGTTTTATTGGCCCCAACGGTAGGACATATTGCTGGTTTTAGCTTTAGGAGGTCTTTACTTTGGTGCTGCGAGTATAAAAGAAGACTCGAATTTCAAACGTTTTGACTTGATTTCACTGATGCGTATCATCGATCAAAAGAAAACCGCCGATTGCACGCAGCCACTATTCAGCATACGGCTTAATTGGATTGATGGTGAGCCACGCTGTAGCGCTGGACAGGCGGTGGACGTAGCGGTAACGCAGAGCAGAAGAGAACATCGACAACTAGATGAAGTATGACAAAGGTACTTTATACGAGTGAAAACGCTACTTCCAGCTATCTTAGCGAAGGAAATGATCAACGACGACTTGGTCTCAGCGCTCTTGGCTCTATGATCCCGTATATTTGGCGAATGTTCCTAAAATCTACAGACACCAAGAAGACAAATCAGATACTGTTTGACGCCTACAATTCCCTTGGACTACTTACATCAGAATTGATGCTGGTGCACATCCGGGTAGAACGTCAATCATTCGCGTGATCAATTCAGCAGCATTCACCAGTTTTTGTAGTGGAATTCTGTCTTCTAAGACACGATGGACCCAGCTATCGACTACTTCCCCGATCTCCGATAATTCCACTCGCACTTGATTTTTTCTCGCAAACGAAATGATTCCATTGAGTTCGTGGAAATACACGTCACACGCATTGCGGTAGTACAGAACGAGGCGATGCACTCGCAGTCCAAACAGCACAGAGTTCATACTATCCAGCATGGAACTTGTCTCTGCAGCAAACGCCCGTATCGTATGGAAGATATCGACGTAGTGAACACCCCAATACTTCTGTAAGCTCTTGTAACTAGCAGTCAGAGACTCGTCAGGCTTCCCCATGCCTCTAATTCTCTTAAGAACCGCGGAGAGCTGACTCAACAGAGCTTTCATCGTTGGATACGTGGTACATTCCAGCGGAGATCGCCACACAACGTCAGCCAACACAGTCATGGCCTTGTCAAATGTTTGCCAGGTGTTTGGGCCCATTTCTTGGCCTTCAAGCTGCAACACTTGGGTGTTGGTTTCTTGTGTTTGATCGAGATAGTTCTGAATTCTCTTCGAAGATTTTGTGTTAAATACGTCGCTGTATGCCAAGCCGTGAGCAATCGCCTTGCCCATACGAAGATGCGCCATGATCCTCTCTTTGGCACCCGGCTTCACAGTAACTTCCTCACTTCCCATGCGCTTTGATTGGTACCTGACGATGTCAGGGTCGTCACGAGCTCTTTTGATACCGCAGTTTGTGTACGCACCCTCGTCCATTCGGTATATTCGGCATGACGCAGCACGAAGCCTACCACGGGTATTTTCACTAACGTAGAAACTATCACACAAAGTCAGCTAATTAAACCCGAAGAACCACAGATAATACATTGCTAATAACGTACGTTAGAAGCGACTCGACCACTTGTCCCGGAAACATGGAGCTGATCTGAATCAACTCTTTGGTCATAGACCGTTTATATCCGTCCAGAGATTTTCCGACTCGCTTCAACCAATGAGATAACACGAGACCAATGTCGTTGAATTTTTTCCAGGACTCTTCTTGCCAGATCAAAGGTTCCTCGGTATTCTGTCGGGATATTTTAAAAGCGCATATGCTTCGAAGCTTCTCCCCGAGGTTTCGTACGGCAGATTGAAGTTTGTCCGGGTTTGATTTGTCCCATGAAGCCCGCTCGATGTCTTTCAAACAGGCATCCGTTCCATTAAAGCAGTCCAACAAGCTTTTGTCGCAGCACCTTGGCATTTCATTGCTAATGGTGCTGTCTCGACCCTCTTTCAAGTCAGCATCTCGAGTACAGTAAATGGCCACTTTCATGATTTGAGCTTTCTTGGCAAGAGGCTTTGGCTCATCGTTAGCCACAAGTAGCGTTTCGTTTGGTACAAGAGCACTACTCTGCTGAACAGCCGTACGTGTCTGTCGTTGAAACCCCAGACTGGCCTCATAGTTGTCTTGTTTCTTTACCCCCACGGTACCAGTTATCTGACACCAACTCCTGTCACAATAAAAATAAATAATTTAGTTAGTTCAATAAAAATATCAAGTAATAAAAATAAAGACACGTACTCGTGCAGGACTGCAGGTAATGCGCCAGGAAACCGAGCTTCAAACTCGCGAAAATAACTACTGACCAAAAGCGCGTCAACTTTCGAGCACTTGACTTGCGCTCTCGATAGAATTTGCATCCAATTGGCCAATTTGTAGCCAATTTCCCTGAAACGTATCCATTCCTCCTCTGTCCGCGGTGCTTCTCCCACCACATCTTGACTCAGCTGATAATCAGTACAATCGCAGATATATTTCCTCAATAACGTTAAGAGATAAGGAAGCAGTTGATTCGCTTGAACTCCGCGGTGGCGTTCAATCAAAAATCACGTAATTCGCCATAGTTTCCAGAGAATCGCAATTATCACGACTACAGTACGTGACAAGGTCATCCCGACATTTTTGCACTGGCGCCAGCACTGTCGCCACTTTCGAGTCTTTTGCCGTATTCTCAACATCAGTGAGGTCCTCTACAAGCTGTATGAGCCATGAAGGCTTCTGAGATATCGTTTGATACGTAAGAACAGAGACCGCAAAGTCCGTAGCCTTTAGAAACGCCAACGCCACTTTTTCATCCACGTTTCCATCCGTCAGAAGTTCGAGAAACTCTCGATTGGCATCCAACCCATTCATCTCCACGATTCTTCTCCAAGTTTCGACAGTTTCTACATCCTCAGGGTCAATGACCATCTTTTCCGCGTTCTTGGCTGCTGCAGTGTATTTTTCCAGACTCGATCGTTTCTCTGACTGGTCCTTAGCAACAGTTTCATTGAGATTGTCGGAGGTTTCGGTATTTTCTTCATTTTTTTTCTACAAGCCACAAATACCACATATCAATTTTAAAATAATATGTATAAGAACAAGTTTAATTTTTTAGATAATACCCACATGGGTGGCTTTGAAACACGACACGTGGCTAGCGCCAATAATTGTGTTGTCACATTCTTCAGACCCATTTGCGCACACTCGACGCTTTCTATGAGCCCCAAAAGCTTCTTCTCTTCTGCTTCATCGAGCTCCGTAGAGCTATTTGAGGCTAGCGTACCCGTTAATCGAACGTGTAGCTGGACGACCTGCGTAGCTCGCAGAAGCTGTTGCTCCACATCTTGCAGCTTTGCCGCGAGTGTCATGTTTGCAACATGGCTTTTGATTGGCTCATGGGTTATTTAGTGTGTTATTTGTGTATTTTTTTTTCTCAAACTGGGACCATTTACTATATATTCATTTGGAGACAGCGTCAAGCAAAATGATACTATAAATCGCATCTATCTCTTGAGCTACATAATGCTTAAAATTGAAGAAGTTGTGGTCGCCTAAAAATATTACCGGTATCTCCATTTTCGGGCCCTCAAAATGACGGAGTGTTGTAAGCTCAATATGTTCTCAAATTTTGAGCCCTTGTTAAATGCAATTGAACAATGGTAGTCTTTCAGTCACAGCTCGGTTAAGTGCGAAACTTAACTGGCAGACTTTATGCTCGATTATCTCGATAACTCTAAATGGTTCGTAAGTTTGACGCTGTCTCTAAAGCTGTGATGTACCATCGCATCATAGATTTACCTTACACTATTTGTAAGATCCCTTGTTAGCGTGAGGGTTCTTCTCCACCGCGAGCTTCCCACTGTTATTTACCGTTACGGTATTGGTCATTTGGATAAGTTTCACCCCGCCGTAAGTGGTTAGCGCCACAAGTACTACCGGGGTTAAAATATACATCAGAAAGGTCCAGAGATGACTATTGTTTCCAAAATTTTGGAGTAGAGTGGCTTCGCTTTCTCGACTTCAGTTTCGGGCACCTTGACCGACTTGAGCTTAGAGATGTCAGGATTCCCCTTGGCAAACGCCTTCGCCTCTGCCACGGTTAGAGAAACGTTGCGAGCTTATTGAGTTAGTCTGAATTGTTCTCAAATTTCCTCATCAAATTTAAGCCGCTCGGAAAAACTCCTTTCATCTTGGCGAATACGCCAGCCTTTTTGACAGACGATTCAGCTTGCTCAAGAGCAGTTGTACCCTTGACAGATGATGCCACTTTCTCAAGAGCAGTGTTTTTAGCAAACGACTCAATACCTCTCTCTTCGGTACTTTGGTCAATGTTTTCGTCGCTTTATATCGATCTTTATCGTCGTTTCCGTATCTGGCTGTCGTTTGCTCTCTAACTCCTTGGTAACTCGTGGGGAGGAGGAAACGGTGAAACTGCAGATTGGCATTACTTGCCTCCACATTTCCATTTACGGCCGGACATCTAACAGCAACCAGCAACGCTGTGGACCCGAGCCGCATTGCAAAGGGCTCTTACCCGTTTGTAATGAAATTGAAGAATGTATAATTACGCGAGCACAGTGATGGTAAAGGCGCGCCTTTTCGCCTTTTGAAAAGTTTAGGCGGCGACCTTTCCCTCGCCTTTTCGCCTTTTCGCCCAAAGGCCTTGGTTTTAATTTCTACTATTTAGTTAACTTTCTACTATTTAGTTGCAGCATGTTAACCCACAACA